GTCATAGCCCTCAAGTCAGCCAATACCTCTCAGCCATATCAGGAGTCTGGTTTGCAAGCATTGCTCAGAAGGCCTCCTTCTTTAACCTGACAGCTTCTCTCTGGAATCAACCAGTAGGTTCTAGGATTGCTACCACTTCCTTTCATGGCTCCTTCAACAATTGAGGCCCTGAACATGTTTTATTGGGACTCATGTGTCCAAGACCTCACCCAGAATGCAGAAATTCTTCCAAATGTAGGAATTCTACATTAGGTCTTCCAACTGATGATCCCAGGTGACCTGTACTAATCTTTTGGGCCTCCCATGTCTATCCAGCCAGTGTTCCATGCACTGAATCAAGCTCATATGAGGTGGTGATCAGTTTCAAGCTCTTCCCCTTTCTTCATCCAAGTATTAGAGTTGGGTGAAAAGCTTTTCAATTTTTGACATTTGAAAAAATTATGAATTTTGACAAAAGGGTAAAATTTGGAAACTCTTGAATTGTTAAAGCCAAACAAGTTGTTTAAAAACTATGTAATATAAATTGAAATAAATGCATCCCACTGTTTCTAGGTTAAGGGATTATAGTTTTTTTGTAGTTTTATCGCAATTTTTTTTCTTACCCTATTCCAGCAATTTGACATATTCTTCTATATGGATATCCAATCATCCAATCTCCTTTTAGGATCTGATCCGATCCAATACCAAGAGAAGTCAATGAATAGACTCCCACTGACTTCAATAGGTTTTGGACTAGGCATGTAATACATACACATTGTTACTACTGTTTGGGAAAAATCTGAAAAAAAATCTATATATAAATTCCAGAAAGCAATTTAGAATCAGAGTAAGAAATACGTTCAACTAAATATTTTTCAAAGTTATTGGCTCATCTGTTTAATAATGAATTTTCACAGAGCCTGAATAACTTAAATGCATTAGAAACAAGTTGCTGCATTTAAGACTGCATTCTCAGAATAGTAAATAGTACATCTTGGCTCAAAGCTTTCAGTTGCTTTTTTATGTTAACTTTTCCTTTTTTTTTTTTTATTTCCATTTCCAGGACTTTCCTATTATTAGTAGACACTATGGCTACGTCTACACAGCAGGCTTTTTGCGCAAGAACTGTTTTGTGAAAGAGTTCTTGTTCAGAAGGTCTTATGCAAGAGTGCGTCCATACTGCCATGTGCTTTTATGCAAGAGCGTCCATGGCAGCGTGGACACTCTTGCGCAAGAAAGCTCTGATAGCCATTTTAGCCATAGGGGTTTCTTGCACAAGAAACGTCTGTTGCCCATCCACATTGCCTTCTTGCGCAAATGCTCTTGTGCAAGAGGGCTTATTCCTCATGGGGAGAGGATTAATTCTTGCACAAGAAGCCCTCTTTTCTGACACATTACTGTAAATTTACGTGCGCAAGACCGCACGTGCAGTGTAGACGCTCCGCAAGCTTTTGCTTAAGAACGGCCGTGTAAACCTAGCCTTTGAGCATAACAAACACATTAAAGCCTCGATTAGAGTCAAACATGGCATCAAAGGGATATCCTAGGACGGGTGGCCAAGAGGCTGCCAATGGTTTGGTGGGCCAGATCCATCCCGCATCTGCTTCACCAGCATTCTTAGGCAGAGACCAGTTCACACTCTAAAAAGCTACAGCTGTTCTCCATTCTGGACAGCTGGGGAGGGAGGAGGGAGACTTTTCATGCTGCTCCTGCCTCCCAGCAAAATCTCTTAGCTCCCATCTGCCAATCTCTCAGTTTCCAGCCAATAAGGAGTTGAGAATTTTTTCTGGGAGCTAGGGCAGTGTAGGAAGCCGTCTGCCTCCCTCCTCCCTCTCATGCCTTGAGTGGAGTCTCATGGAGCAGCCTACAGCAGACAGTCTGCCTCAGGTTTCTGCTGGTAAGCACCTCTCAGCCCTGTTCCCTTCTTCCACATAACCAAACCCCCTATCAGATCTGGCACCCCAATCTCCTGCCCCAGATCACAATCCCCTCCTACCCTAGTTAGAATCATAGAACTGGAAGAGACCTCAGAAGGTCATCAAGTCCAGCCCCCTGCTCTAGGCAGGACCAATTCCAACTAAATCAACCCGTCCAGGCCTTTGTCAAGACAAGGCTTAAAAATCTCTAGGAATGAAGACTCCACTACTTCCCTAGGTAACCCATTCCAGTGCTTCACCACCCTCCTAGTGAAATAGTTTTTCCTAATATCCAACCTGGACCTCTCCCACCACAACTTGAGACCATTGCTCCTTGTTCTGCCATCTGTCACTACTGAGAACAGCCTCTCTCCATCCTCTTTGGAACCTCCCTTCAGGAAGTTGAAGGCTGCTATCAAATCCCCCCTCACTCTTCGCTTCTGCAGACTAAACAGACCCAAGTCCCTCAGCCTCTCCTCATAGGTCATATGCTCCAGCCCCCTAATCATTTTGGTTGCCCTCCGCTGGACCCTCTCCAATGCGTCCACATCCTTTTTGTAGTGGGGGGCCCAGAACTGGACACAATACTCCAGATGCGGCCTCACCAAAGCCAAATAAAGGGGAATAATGACATCTCTGGATCTGCTGGCAATGCTCCTCTTAATGCAACCTAATATGCCATTAGCCTTCTTGGCTACAAGGGCACACTATTGACTCATATCTAGCTTCTCATCCACTGTAACCCCCAGGTCCTTTTCTGCAGAACTACTACTTAACTGGTTGGTCCCCAGCTTGTAACTATGCTTGGGATTCTTCCATCCCAAGTGCAGGACTCTACACTTGTCCTTGTTGAACCTCACATCCCAAAACCCTGCATCTCAGTCCCCTGTTCTAGGTCACACCTGTCTCCTTCACCCAAACTCCCTCCCAGACCCCAATCCCTTAAGCCAAGCTCCCATCCCAGACCATGGAATTCCTCCATTAATATTCTGGAAGAGTGTGGCCCATGACCACTTTCCAAAATCTTGGAATGGCCCCGGCCAAAATTATTGCTCACCCCTGTTTTAGGGTGACCTATTAAGTAATCAGAAGTGACTGCTTTGTGAACAGCTGTACAGACCAAGTTCTGTTTTAAATTTGAGATTTCACACTGACTAATTCTGAGATTCTACTGGTGAACTTCAATGCTCATGTAGGGACCAGAAGAGATACTGGTGGGGAGCGATTGGGAGGAACAGATTCTATGGCCTGGACCTGAGAGGTGAATTGTTATTGGATGTCTGTGCTAGTCATGGACTTTCCATACAAATACCATATTTTAAGACAAGATTACTCAAAAATGTACTTGGTACCAGAGTACCTTGGAATGAAGATCAATGATCAACTTCATAGTCATCTTGTCAGATCTAAGGCCTTTTAATACTGACCCTGATAGCAAAATTAAGTGCCAACAAGCAGCTTTGGGTCTTTTTAAACACACAAAAAATAATATGATTAAAAAACATCTGAAAATGCTTATTTATAATGTAGTTCTTTCCTTGATGGGTTTGCAACTCAAGCATTGCAGAATTATGACTGTGGAGGAGAACTAAGTGACAAATTATTTGTTTTCATTTTGCACTGCACTCAGTGTGCACAAAGTAAAATGGACAACAAAGGTTAAAACATTTTTAAAGGCTTTAGCTTTTACAATTTAAGTGTATTAAGAGGTAAGAGAGACTGTTAAATGAAGAAATTGCCCCTTTAGCAGTCTGTCATCTAAATAAATCTTGTTCTTATTTTCTATGTAATTTAGTGTTTTCATTGTAAATGTTGGACCTCCCAAATTCAGGACTCCCCGTTCCAGCAACATCCGTGGTTCAGCCAGATGTAGTATGTATCTACTACTACAAGTCTAGCAAACAACAGTGAACTCATTAAGATTTAAGTGTACTAAGACACTGATCCTCTTAACGAACCATTACGTTTTAAAGTCACATGCATAGACCAACAGGTCTAAGTTGCAATTTCCTCATTTTACTAAGAATAGTCAAGGGAAGTGTGGGAGAAAAATCAAATAACTCCAATTGTGTCTACGGGTGGACTCTGCAGGAAATCAAAACTCTCTAAAAGAAAACTGCTGTAAGGGTTAAAAGTTTTCCAGGCCCCACTCTCGGTAACAGAGAAATCATCTTAACTCTAATCAAGACCCTTACAATGCCTCCTATCTCAAGTTCATGGAGACTCCTACTCTGTCACAAATTGTCATGTAAACTCTTATCTTTGTCTCAGTTTGCCTTGTAGACTCCTCACTCAAGCTCTCATGTGCCTTTGTACTGTAAAACTTACTTCTAGCACTTCTGGTGTGAACAGAAATGTCTCCCGAGTACCTCTGCTGAGACTTTGATATGTTAAAGAAAACAATCAACTAAACTGTCTGAACATACTGTATAAAGGATCCCTGAAACTCTCTCTCAGGGCTGCTGCTGCTCTCACTCTGGTAGCTGTCAGCCTACATGCATGCATAATAAAGTTTTCCTTCTAGATTTCTCTCCTGCCTCACTGCTTTGACCTCCAGCCTCGGACCCTTCTGGGGACTCTGTACCCCAGGGGAGCGAGATTTCCCCAACAGAAGCAAGCACTGTTACTAAACAGATTCATAAGCTTAAAATTTAAGTTTTATTGAATAATTTTTATACCTTTCATTATATGAGAAGTCATATTGAAATTCAATTATTTAAGATATATTGACAGAAGTTAAATTATTCATAAATAAAATATAATAAATATGTACACACCTGAAATGCTGAGTAACTAACAACTTCTACACAAGGAACAGACTTCAATCAAAGCAAGAAATATTGCACTGACAGAATATTACAGTGCATCATGAACTGGAAGTTCATTATATGAGAAGTCATATTGAAATTCAATTATTTAAGATATATTGACAGAAGTTAAATTATTCATAAATAAAATATAATAAATATGTACACACCTGAAATGCTGAGTAACTAACAACTTCTACACAAGGAACAGACTTCAATCAAAGCAAGAAATATTGCACTGACAGAATATTACAGTGCATCATGAACTGGAAGTCTAGCTACACTATAATGACAGACTAGATCTTCTCCCAGGAAACTAGCATGCTAAGTGACCACTATTTAATTTTCAGAACTCTAGATATGTTAATTGCTAATTCTGAAAGATGCTTCAGTTAGATAAAAAGATTACAATAACAAGGAGTGAACAGAATTTTTTCCCCCCTCTAACTCTTACCTCACACGTTTCCTTTCCACATGCAATTTAGGCAAATTTTTCAATGTGAAATGTCGTGATCACGAATGTCCTAAAATAATATCCTTTGGAACTATTGTGTACACAGTGTGAAAAAAACCAGCGTCACTATAGACTAAAATTTCAGCATCCTGGAATAATCTTCATTCCTGGTCCGATGTCTGCCCACTTAAAGAAATCACACTGTCTATCCTTCCCCAAAGGGCACACAAAAAAATTCTTTCCATTATTAGGCCCAATCTTCAACACTGTCCTCATAATGCAGCGTTTCCCATGATTGCACAATGGAAACTGTAAGTCTGCCCACTGTAAAGAGAAATTATTAATTTACCAGTGGTGTCACTGTTGAATGGTCAAATTCCTATTTATGAACCAAAGACAAAAATTCAGACCCACAAGACAAGCCCTTCCATTTGATTCAGCCATAGCAATCAAAAACAGGCTTCCCTTAAAACAAGTCTATAACTAAAGTTATGGTAAATAAATTATATGCACATAAAACTTTAAATTGGCATTAAAACACAAGCTTCTTCTCAACAACTAGTGGTGCAACTGTCATGTTAACTTCTTCTCAGTGGCCTGATAGTCAGACACATAGACCAATAGGTCTAAGTTGCAATTTCCTCATTTTACTAAGAATAGTCAAGGGAAGCAAACATTGTCACTAAATATACTCATAAGGCAATTGAGATGGATCTTTCTGGTTACATGGTCCTAAAACCACTGTTTTTAATGCACCAGTCCCTACCCCCAGTGCAGTTGAATAACGGGTGTAAAATCACCACTCTCTGGCGGTGGTGCACACATTTTCTTTATCCAAGTGATAGCCCCAAGTTATAAAATGGGGCTAAACTGGAAGTTACATAACTACTGTTCTAGAACACTTTTGAAAATCCCATTCGGAAACTATCCACACTTCACATAAATACTTTTGAAATTCTGGCCCTTAGAAAACTCTGGCTTTGACTACACTAAAAAGTTTAAAGCACAGCTACAGCAGTGCTGTCACAGCAGTGGTTTAAACTGAAAGTGTGGCCATAGCAGAAGTGCAGGTAGAAGGGTCTCCCAGTGCTCTTCGTAAACCACTTCCATGAGGAGAGTAACTAACAGTGCTGAGAGCGTGGCTCCCAATGCTGTAGCCTGGTTCACGCTGGCACATTAAGGTGCTGTAATTTGCTGCGCTTAGGAGGGGTAATGTTTTTTCACACCCGAGACAGTTACAGTGCTGTCAAGTGGCAGTGTAATTTAGCCTCAGTCACATTGAAAGTTAGTGGGACTTAAATACAATTTCAAAAGTACCCAAGATAAAATTGCAGTTTCTTAAACTGAAGTTTGCAAATATGCATGCGCAGCCATACTCTGATTCTTCACTAGTTACAATTTTTTTATTTCAAATACTAGATTTTCACAACACGCTAGAGGTGTGATTCCCCTGTGCTCATTGAGCCATCACAAGTATAAATAGCAATGTAGCTTAAGTGGTGACTGTGGAAGCATGGGTTAACTGGACTCGGTACATACCCTCTGCTTCCACAATGTGTCATTTGTACTTGAATTAACTTGATGAGTGCTAGCAAGAGTACATGTATGTGAGCAAGAGAAGTCACACATCCAGCAGATAACATAGATGCAACAACAGTGGGATCTTCCTCCCTCAGACATTGTTTTTAAATAATACTAATATAAAAATCTACAACAATCCAACCTTCCTCAGTTAACAAAACAAAATCAATCACTAGCCAGAATCTCATCCATTTTCCATGGCACTTTTTTTTTCTATTTAATAAATAGGAAATAGTCACTTCTTTATTAAGATAATACTAAAATGTTTACAAATATTTGAGAGGAAAAAAGTACTTAGAGCAAAAGAAGTTTTGACTGATGAATAATAGTTTTGAATAATTGAAAAGCTTAAAATTAGGGCCCGAGGTCTTGTACTTACTTCAAAATACTCACACTGAGTCCCTCTGGGTAGAGGACAAGTATAAAATTGTCTGCCCTTGTTTTCTCCCTCCTTTCTCACAACTCTGAGACTGCAGAGGCGGTTGTGTTTACTGCAGCGAGGACTGCCTGCATTTAATGTGCAAATACCATCTGTCATGTTAACTCGATGTTCACTGTAATGACAGGTTACAAAATAACTTGCATAATGTTGAAGGGATTAGCGCCACCACCAACCCCCCTCCACCCGACATACACTCTTGCTTGTAAGACCGGATTGCCAATAATGTACCTTTACACAGAGTGACAGCTACATAGAAATTTTTAATCCACACCATTGTTTCTTTATATAAAATGGATGTATTTCAAGGACACTGAATGCTAAATTTAACCTGTTAAATAAAGTAAATTCCAATCTAAAAGTAAAAAGCTGTCTTACTTCAGGGCTTATTTATAGATATACACAATGGAATATCCTGAATTTCAAGAACAAGAAAGGTTACAGTTACAATCTTCTATCTTTCATGCAGTGGAAAATCATCAAAAATAGCTTAGACAAGACCACAGGGATCTACCTACTTGTCCACTTTAGGGACAATTTTCCATGATCTTTGATCAAAACTACTGTAATGATCCCAATCCTATTCCAACAAGGGACTGTCTTCCTGACTGAGCAGATATTTCTTATAAAGCTGGTAGGGAAACTTTATTCTCTTCTATCATTACTAAGAATTGTTGGAAACTGTATCTGAATTTAGCACACCCTACAGTTTAAATAAGCTGAATCTTCTTTAAATGTATTTTAGAGGAAAAAAGGAATCTGTTTTATCAGTTACAGGTTATGTGTCATGTTCGTGGAGTGATGTAAACTGCGGTGAAAACATAAGAGATTCATTACTCTCTCTCTTTTAAAAAGCAAAACTCTGACCTAGAAGTTTCAGGAATATTATGCACATCACAAATTATCTGTGTAACCTTATGTTCTCATTACTGTTACCATGTATCTCTTCTCTCCCTTGGCCATCTCAGTTACTTCCAACCAATTACATTTCTCCTAACCCAGACTGTTTGTTCAGAGTACAGTTCCCGGTGTTTCTTTAAAATGGGTATTGTGAAACTATGGCCCATGTTCTTCATAGAAATATTGTTAAGATGTGAATATGATATAACTCAGATATATTTTAGGAAAGATGTGAGGTTTCACTGAAAAAGTTATGATTTACTGAAACAATTATTCTTTTTGTATGATGTATCATTTTTGTATCTGAAGTTGGGAATATTATCTATGTACCTTTTACAAGTATGTTTGTAAATATCTGGGGAATGGCCCACCAGACAGAATGCAATCAGCCTGGATGGGCATGATGGAAAATAACAGGATTTTGAATATGCTAGTTTCCCACCTTCCTGAGAAACTGCAAACAATATTGACTCAGGGCTACTTTGGCACTACAGAGTCATGTGATCATGTCACCTAGTACTGGACTCCATCTCAGACCCTTGGTATTTTTCCACTAATAGGAGGCGGATCAAACTGGGAAACTAAGAATTCTCACCATATGTAAATCCTGTTTGAGGCAGGGAAGTGAATTAATCTAGGTTCTTTCCTCACTGAATCCCCAACTAGGCTGCTGGAACCATCTAATAAACCAAGATAAAAGGGAAAAATTCTAAGCCCAATCTGGAAAAAGTGTCTGGCCTGTGAAAAATGCCTAAAACATTTATAATGAAAAATAATAACTTGTAACCAACTTCCTTAGTGTATTAAGCTTAGTTTGCATGTTTGTTTTATTTGTTCATTAATCTGCTTGCTATCCCTTAACTACAAAATATTTTAAATGACTAATAGAATTATTTTTGTTCTCTCTAAAAACAGTTTATGAAATTCATAAGGGGGAGGGGAAAAACTTTATCTATTTTCCTCCACCTTGAGTGGGGGGACAAATATTACTAGTTTACACTGTGTAGTTCTCTGTGCAATATAAGGCTATGTCTACACTACAAAGAAATGTCGCAAAAAAAAATAAGCAAATTGAATATAATTTCCACTTTTCTTCTGAAAGAGGCTTTTCCGACATTTCTCCCATCTATATGGGGCCAAATGTCGAAAAAAAACCTTTTTTGGAACATCCTTTCTTCCTCATAGAATGAGGTTTACAGTGATGCCAGAAAAACCACGTCTGCTCTTCTGAATTTTTTTTTTTTTTTTTTTTTTTTGAAAAGCAGACATGTTCCTTGGATGCAGCAGAGCTTTTCTGGGATACCTTCGGTATTCCAGAAAAGATCCGCAGTGTAGCCTAAGACAGTACAGTTGTGGGTACATACTCAGTGTGAGGTGTTCACTTTAGGATTGGGCAATTCCCAAGCTAAATATTCCCATGCAAAGATGATTTCAGTGTCTGTCTCTTTCGGCAACTGGCCGTGTCCCTACCTGTGTGTGCGCGCGCGCTAGAGAAAGCCTGAAGACCTGGCTCAGCAGGACAGGGTAAGGGAGCCCTCGCATTTGGAATAGGCGGGCTCAGTAGTACCCCAGTATAGCAGATGGCACACTGCAGTGAGGGGTAAACCATCACAGGTACACACAGGAAGGTTTACGAACATCCATTTTCCAACAGATGTTAATGTTGAAACCTCTGGTTTGGAAGACTGGTGATCCTAATAGCCTCTTTGGATATAATCACAACAGTATAGAAGAACCTCTGACCTAACCCTATTTAAAATAGGATTGTTAGTCAATTACTATGCAGTATTAAGGTAATGGTAATATACTTACATAAGCAAAAGACACAATTTATGTTTGGTGTTTTGTCTAAAACTTATTGTCATTTGGTCAGTTTTTTCACAGGGCCCATGAGAAGTTTCCTCCACCTTCCTTTAAGAGATAAGCCCTGTATAATAAGTGCACATGTACTTGCAAACAGCAGAAGTCTAAGGCTAACAAATTCATTAATTTGTTTTTAATTTTAAAAGTATTCAAAGATAACGAAGGAAGGAGGAAGCACCATGTGCAAAATATATGAAAACTTGACTTTTCATAGTGAATGAAGTAAATTGCTAGTGCAGATTATAATGGTCCAAATCCTCAGCTGAAGTAAAGGGAAATAATTCAACTGCCTCTATGCTGTTTTACTCCAGCTGAGTTCAGATAATCATCAAGCTGTACTGAAACTTGCCAGATGCCAAAAACTTTATTTCCCAATGGCAATCTGGGTTGCTCAGCACCTCTGAAGTCTGGACATAAGTGCTGTCAAATGTACAAAGTAAACAAACTGGAAGAGAAATATTTTCCCTATTCACTCATCTTCATTTTAGAAATCTTAGATATTGCTCTTAACTAGAGTATGTCACAAATTTTCAAACAAGTGTGATTTTCAAATTTGACCACATCCCTTTAAGCTGTACTGAAAGATATTTATTATATGCAGTCCATGAAAAATTAAACTGAATATGTGCAACAGAAGAGGCCAATGTTTAACTGGTGTAATTTGAAGTAGGGTTTATGACAGGCATGTCCAAAGTCCGGCCCGCGGGCCAATTTCGGCCCGTGTTCCGGTTTAATACGGCCCCCCAGGTAATTTGGCAATATCTATCTTTTATGGCCCCCAACGAATCCATATGTATTGAGATGAATACATTGTAAAATCTCAGTTAATGTCAGTTGGTCTAAATCAGTTATAAATATATTTGGACACAACATGTATACTTGGTGTTATGTTCCTGTTCATATTTTTTGAACTTAAAAGTTGACAGACAACCTTTATTACCAATAATATGTAATGTACTTTACAATGTTCCTGACATATATTTCAGCTTCCTGGATTTTTTTTCATCTGGCCTTCAGATATGAAAGGCAGAGTGATTTAATACCTGTTTAGATTTGTCATCCATGTGACGAAATGAAAAGTATGCCGTTTGCAATAAACTGCAATAAATAGTTAATTTGCATTTAATTTTAATGGTTCAAAGAATGTCAGGCAAAATGGTCGGCCCTCACGCATGTTCACTTCATCAAATCTGGCCCTCTTTGAAAAAAGTTTGGACACCCCTGGTTTATGACCTTGTAGTCGCCTCCGCTTTTTTTTTTTTTTTTTTGGCAAGTGTATCCAGTATGGTATAATTTTTCTCATTTCCACAGTAGCGGAAGCAGCAGTAGCAGCCAAATTTTATTTATTTGGGGGGTGTGTTATTTTTGCTGAGGATTAAGTTACCTTAAGCAGGGATCCAAAGAAAAAATAACTCCATGGGAAACAGGAGCAACACTCAAACCTTCCCTTAAATTTGGAAGTGAAATTTGACAAAGGATCTGAAGAGGCTCCTTCATGCCCATCATTGGATGGATTTCTTTTTTTTGGCTACGTCTACACTGCCTTTTTTTGCAGCAGAAGATATGCAAATCATGCTCATTTGCATATCTTCTCCTGACTCAGCAAAAAAACCTTCTTGCACAAGAGCCGTTTTTCTTGGGGGGGGGGGGGGGGGAAAAACCCTTTTGCACGAGATCCTGTAGACCTCATATTTTAAAGAATAAGGGATTTTTTCAAAAGGGTTTTTTTCCGACAAATGGCCCTGTCTACATGGGGTTTTTGTCACTTAGAATTGAGACTCTGGCTATAAAATGTGTAAAATATAATGAAATAACTGCAGAGAACTGATAATCTTTGTAATAAAATTAGTTCTCAATTATCTCACATGATTATTTTAGTTGTGTTATGCCTAAGTAATAACTAGTGCCCTTTTTTTTCCAGTCATCAAAAATGAATGAATTCCTGCATTCCTCAGCACTTAAAAATATTTTCATTTTAGGCAAAAATCATGATCCAAGGCCCAGTGGATGCTTGCACTGAATAATATAATTATAATTCAATTACCCACACAGATCAGCAATTATCAGGGACAAAAGGCACTGGTGGCTAATTTTGTGACTGGTTCCAGTGTTTCTACAGTAGCTCTTTTTCAGCTGCTGTTCAGTATACATAATTTCAACTAGTCAAAGGAAAATAAAATAAACCAAACCAAGGGGATGTGCAAATCAAATGATTCAGTGGAGAAAAAGTGCTGCTGGAAATATGTTATTGTTGGAATGTATTTTGGTTGTGCCCAGTAGAATGCTCATGCTAATCAGAAAGGGGCTGCACTGAAAATATGTTCCTTAAACTACATATCTAAAATAATTATGTATTGTATGTAACCTGGAAATTAGATTTTGTTTTGAAAGTCACTCTGTTTGTAAGCTATGATCACTGTCACCTGTGTGGGTCCTTTTATATATTACCAAAGTGCCAAAAACATATTTGTAAAACAGGGACATTTCTTCCCAATTTTACTGGGAATAAATCTCTCTATTTTACTGGATTAGATAATAATTAGAGCTTAATTATTTAATTGTTGTGGAATAGCTTTAACAAGACAGACAGAGAGACCCACATCATAATATCCCACAGTCTAGTTCTCAAAAATATTATATTTCATCCCATCTCTTAACTGCTATCACTATCATTTTTGGAAATGTCAGTGGCATGGAAGCAATACTTAAGTAAATACCATTCAAAGTTTTCTCATTACAGTGTGATTACATTCTGGGCTCTTCGGTCATCCACCAAAGCACCCAATCACATTGTTCCTACAGCACACACCCACTAATTCCCATCTTTTTAGATATCAGAGGGGTAGCCATGTTAGTCTGGATCTGCAAAAGTGACAAGGAGTCCTGTGGCATTTTACAGACTAACAGATTTATTGGAGCATAAGCTTTTGTGGGCAAAGACCCACTTTGTCGGATGCATGTAGTGGAAATTCTGGTGGCAGGTATAAGTATACAGGCATAAGAAAAGAGTACCAATCAAGAGTAAGGCTGGAGATAACGAGGTCAATTCAGTCAGGGAGGATGAGGCCCACTTCTAGCAGCTGATGTGGAAATGTGAACACCAAAAGAGGAGAAACTGCTTTCGTATTTGGCTAGCGAAAGGCTATTGGTACTCTTTTCTTATGCCTGTATACTTATACCTGCCACCAGAATTTCCACTACATGCATCCGACAAAGTGGGTCTTTGCCCACAAAAGCTTATGCTCCAATAAATCTGTTAGTCTGTAAAAAGCCACAGAACTCGTCACTTTTGCATCTTTTTAGAGACAGTTGAACATGTTTCTTTCAGGCTTTGAATCAATATATCAGAATTCTCCAGCTCAGTGTTTCCCAAACTTTAATCATAGAACTGGAAGGGACCTTGACAGGTCATCTAGTCTAGTCCCCTGCAGTTATGGTAGGACCAAGCACCATCTGGACCATACCTGACAAATGTTTGTTGAACCTGCTCTTAAACATCTCCAGTGATGGAGATTAAACATCTCCAGTGATGGAGATTTCACAGCCTTCCTAGGCAATTTATTCCAATGCTTAATCACCCTGACAAGAAGTTTTTCCTAATGTCTGACTTAAAACTCCCTTGCCGCAATTTAAGCCCATTGCTTCTTGTCTTATCCCCAGATGTTAAGAACAATATTTCTCCCTCCTTCTTGCAACAACCTTTTATGAACTTGAAAACAGTTATGTCCCCTCTCAATCTTCTCTTTTCCAGACTAAACAAACCATTTTTTTCCCAATTTTGCCTCACAGGTCATGTTTTCTAGACCATTAATTCTTTTTATTGCTCTTCTCTAGTCCTTCTCTAATTTGTCCACATCTTTCTTGAAATGTGGCACTCAGAATTAGACACTATACTTCAGCTGAGGCCTAATCAGCATTGATTAGAGCAGAAGAATTGCTTTTCATGTTTTACACTTGTGATAATACAGCCCAGAATGATGTTCACTTTTTCGCAACAGTGTGACACTGTTGATTCATATTTAGCTTTCGCTATGTTAAACATCAAATCTCCACCTATTTTCTTGGTGAAAATCGAAACAAAGACGTTATATTAAGTACTTCTGCCATTTCCACCTTTTTTATTATGGCCCATAATGACCCCAGATCCCTATCCACAGTACTGTCATTTCTCATTGTGTGTGTGTGCGCGTGCACACACACACACACACACACACACACACACACACACCTGACTGTTCCTTCCTAAGTGGAATATTTTGTATTTTTTCTTGTTGAATATCATCCTAATTACCTCAGACAATCTCTCCAGATCATTTTAAATTTTATTTCTATCCTCCAAAGCACATGCAATCCCTCCCAGTCTGGTATTGTCCATCAACTTTATAAATGTACTAGCTAGGACATTATCTCAATCACTGATGAAAACATTTAACAGAACCAGACCCAGAACTGACCTCTAAGACACCCCATCAGTTATGCCCTTCCAGCACGGGTGTGAATTATTGATAACTATTCTCTTGGAATGGTTTTCCAATCAATTTTGCACTCTTCTTATAGTAGCTCCATCTAGGTTGCATTTCCCTAGTTTGTATATGAGAAGTTAATGTGAGACCATATCAAAAGCTTTACTAAACTCAAGGTATACCATGTTTACAGTATCCCCCTCTTCTGTTCAGCAGCCTCGTTACATTGTCAGACAAAGCTTTCAGGTTGATTTGACACTATTTGTTTTTGACAAATCCATGCTGCCTGTTACTTATATTATCTTCTAGGGCATGTCTAGACTGCCCGTGGCTTTCGAAAGAGGATATGCAAATATGGCGTGAATTTGCATATCGTCTTCCAATCCTATTTTGAGGAGTTTTTTTCAGAAAAAAAAGCAGTCTAGATGCAGTTCTTTCACAAGAAAAAAAAAAACCAAACCTTTTTTGAAATAACCTTTCTTCCTAAAAAAATGAGGTGTAGAGGGGTTCTTTCCAAAAAAGGGGTTTTTGTTTGTTTGTTTTCTTACCAAAATCTTGGAGTGCCGCCCCGCATCAAAAATTATTGCCTAGCCCTGTTTTAGTACCTCCAGCTAGGTTATATTTCCATAGTTCGTTTATAAGAAGTTCATGCAAGACAATATCAAAAGCCTCACTGAAGTCAAGATATACCACGTCTGCCACTTTCCCTCTATGCACAAGGCTTATTACCCTGTCAAAGAAAGTTATCAGGTTGGTTTGTCCTTAACATATCCATGCTAAATATTACCTTATTATCTTCTAGATCTTTGTCATTTGATTGCATAATTATTTGCTCCATTATCTTTCTGAGTACAGAATTTAAGTTGTCTGGTCTGTAATTCCCAGGGTTTTCTTTCTTTCCCTTTTTATAGATGGACACTATATTTTCCTTTTTCCAGTCTTCTGGAATCTGTCCTGTATTCCATGATTTTTTCAAAGACAATTGCTAATGGCTCAGATATCGCCTCAGACAGCTCCTTGGGTTTTCATCAGGCTCTGCTAACTAAAGACATCTCATTTATCAAAGTAATTTAACCTGTTCACTTCCTATTTTAGCCTCTGATTCTACCACATTTTCATTAGCTTTTATTATGTTAGATGTCAAATCTCCACCTATCTTCTTTGTGAAAATTGAAACAAAGACGTTATACTGAATACTTCTGCCATTTTCATTTTCTTTTTGTTATTATTTTCCACCCTCACTGAATAGGAGTACTACCCTATCCTTGGTCTTCTTCCTTCTCATATATTTATAGAATTTCTTCTACCCTTTCTAATTTTGTCCCTATGTATTTATTTATTTATATTTATCCTTCATAATTAACTTAGTTTCCACTTTATATAGTACTCTTTTCTTTTTTTAGATAATTAAAGATCTCCTGGTTAAGCCAGAATGATCTCTTGCCATACTTCCTATCTTTCTTATGCAGTGGGATAGTTTTCTCTTTTGCCCATAGCAACATCTCTTGAATTATTTTTCTCCATAGATATGCTTCCTGTAGGATCTTACCTACCAACTCCCTGAGTTTGCTGAAGTGTGCCTCTTTGAAATCCATTCTCTTTATTTTGCTGTTTTCCATCCTACCATTCCTTGGAATCATGAACTCTGTCCATTTCAATCATTTTCACTCAAGTTACCTTTCACTGTCTAATTTGCAACAAGTTCCTCTCTATTTGTCGAAAATCAAATCTAGAACAACCTCACCCCAGTAGCTTTCTACACCTCCTGAAATTAACAAAATAAACTGCCTTCAATACATTCCAAAGACTTTTTGGATAATCTGTGTCCTGCTATGTTATTTTCCCAATAAATATTTGGATAGTTGAAATCTCACATCATGACCAAGTCCTGTGCTTTTGATGATTTTATTAGTTGTTTTTTTAAAGAAAATCTCATCCATCTCTTCTTACTGGGTAGGTGGCCTGTACTACTATGACATCATCCTTGTTTTTTATCCCTTTTATCCTTACCCAGAGACTTTCAACATGTCTATCTTTTATTTCCATCTTAACCCCAGTTCAAGCATATACCTTTTAATAAGTAAGACAACACCTGTTCCCTTTTTTCTCTGCCTATCCTCAAAGTCCTCCTTTGGTAATAGTTTGGCACATTTTCATCATTGCACCCTAAATCTCCTTCTGCCTCTAGCCATCTTCTTTGAGAACCAATATTTTTTATTTTCTTCCTTTTCTGTGTATTCTTCCATTTTAGCTTTGTTCTCTCCATCCTCACTCCCCCCCATACTCCCAACCTTCACTCAATTCTCTGACTTTCCTCATTTCCACTGGACACATTGCCAGTGTCTCCTCCCAGGCTTTCATCCCTTCTGCCTCTGAGCCTTCTGAACTTAGACACACCACCACAAGAGAAATAAGTGAACTGTCTTATGTTCTTAAAGTAAAACATTAAAAGGCCAGATCCAAATTTTATCCACAGACTTACATTAATTTCCAGTTCTCAAGTTTGTTTTTATAGAAGACTGATGCTCTGTATATGAAAAGTTTAAGTTTTGGAAAATAACGTACCTGTTTGACAAACTCTTATTACTTTTGAAATCTGAGGATAAATGATCAATCTTCTGTTTCTTCTGCACAGGATTGGAAGAATCAGACTGATGATAGAAGTGTGATGCTGTATTTACTGCAGTGAACAAGTCTGCTGAATGAAATTCATAATTTTTTCCACTGCTCTGGTGGGAGTTATTCTGGCAATAGCTGTTGTTTCTTGGAGAGTCACACTGAGAATTCCCATCTGGCGTTTGGCTATCACTTCTGCCATTTTTTAAAGGAGTGAGTTCACTGCTGAGATCTGTCAAGACTAGAGTTGTCATTCCAAATGCGGTTTGCCTATTGACCTTTATTTCTGTGTTTGGCTTTCCAAAGAGGTTACAAGGGTACTTAACTAAGCTGCTATTAGAGGCTGTAGAACCTTCATCAAGTTGTACCTTTGAAACTTGGGGAAAAAAAATTTTGATTATCTATTTTGTCTATAGTTCATATATAAACTACATGTATTAACATCCGTGACCGGTGTTCCCTCTAAACTGCATGGCAACACAGCTTCACTGGTGATTAATCAGCCCCGCCCAGTCAGAGGCTCAGGGCTCCATGCATGAGGCTGACTGACTGGGAGGGGCTGCTTAATCACCTGTGAAGCTGTGCTGCCACACTGCTTAGAGAGAACATTGTCCATGACACATTTATATAGATTACTTTGCAGATTAGACATACACAAGACTCATTTTCCTTCATTACAGAAGTCAAACATGGAGTCAAAAATGGCAGCTGTTAAACAGTGGGTTACAGTACCATTAAGTGTAAAGTACTGTTCACAATGGAAACTCTAAAGGTCAATTCATTCTATAAAATTGACCATGGCTCAAATATGAAGGGTTGATATTCAGTATCTCCTCCCTCCCCCTCTCCACACAAAACAACAAAAAAGGGATATTTAATGACCACAAGTGCACTGGGCATCTCTTTTGCATTTGCTCTAGGAGATGCCACCTCCAACAGCAATGTTATATTAAGGATGTTAAAAGGTGGGTAATTGTGTAAATACATAACCACTGAAAAACCTCAGCAGTTACACACACCCACAGCCAGTTTCCACAAGCCGATGTGCGCCACTCCTGGAGAGCCGGCTGCTGCCCCATGCTGCTGCCTCTGTATCAGAGGCAACGGCACTGGGTGGCAAATAGATCCCTGGGAGCTGGTGCATAGGCTTTTAAGCTGGCTCCCTGTGTGTACTGGCTCCCTCCTGCAGCCCTGCTCCCAGGGAGCTGGCTCGTGCCCCCGCACTGCTGCTTCGGATACAGAGGCAACAACTGGCTTCCCTGGAGCAGAGTGGGAGCAGGAGCCTGCATGTAACTGTGAACATTAACCAAACCATTTACACGGTTATGTGTTCATATCCCTATGCAATAGTTTATGCTGGGGCACTGTTTTACTAGTGACCTAGAAGAAAAGTGCCAGTTCACTAAGTCGCAACTGAGATTTGCTACACCACTAGGGTTTCACCTAGAGGCCCCCAATCTAAACCTTAAGCAGCCCTACTCTGGCTGAATCCTGATGGCCATAAATGCCCTTTTGGATCAGGGAAATCCCACTCCTGAGTGGAGCAATGAACGGCTTGACACTAACAGAGAAGTGAGGCACAAATAGTTATAATAGACTTTAATCACTACATATAAGCTGACATTTTACATCAAATGGCAGGCTTCTTAATTTTTGAAATCCTTTAAGGTTCAACCTCATGTGAAAATGGGAGTGGGTAGGAGAAAAAAACAAACATTCACAATTCCATCTGGCAAATCCCTCTCTCTCTCTTGCATAAACTGAATGAACTAGCTCTTTACTGGGGGATTCCTTGGGAGCCAGGAATGGAATCTTTTCCCCTACATTGCCTTCAGTGGAGACAATGTCTGCTGCATCTTTCCACCATGGGGAGTGGATGAGGGAAGGGATCACGGACTGGGAAATTAATGATACATGCAGATTGACACTGCCTCCACCATCATTCATGACATTAGACAAGGAATCCCTACACAGCTTTGTTTTGCAGAATATAAGGATGCAAATTCTCTGTATTTTGCCCCTCCTACATAGTGGAATTATATTAGTTCTAGTGCATTTTAGAGCCATTTGAGGAGGGAGGAACAATACGTAAGACTTGTGCTTATGGAGAAAAAAAAAGCAAGAAAATTAGTATTAAGGGTAAGTGTCCTTATTGTAACCAGCACTTTATACCCAAGAACTATACAGATCTCTAGACAGTTAAAATTTTTACATGTTCTATATTCTGTCTTTTGTCAAAGGATTTCAAATATTAATGAAATCAGACTCACATGTAGGAAAGAAGAAAAAGAACAAAGAAAAAAAACAGACTAAATCTCAATATCCATAAAGACAAGTGAATAAAAAAGTCCTAAATTAGAGGAACCCACTTTGCATACCATTTTCTGCAACACGAATAAAATATGATTTAAATAGAAAATATGTAATTGAAATTTTGTAGATATAAATGTTTCACTGAATTAACCAAATCAAATTCCAGATAACAGCTTAAGCACTACATGATTGGAATGGAAAAAAGTCAGAGGAAAAGAAACAGAGTAATCAGAATTGTGTTTTAAAGCCTTAGGCTACAATGCCTTTGCACAGAGACTGCTGTAAGATTTAGAAAATCAGCTTGGTGTATAAATTAAATAAAAAAAAGTTAATTGGCAAATCTGAGTTTGCAGACAGGTTTCAGGTTTCTCACACTGGGATTCTGGAGGAAAAGAACCAGCAAGCTCAGCCTCTGCTGGCAATAGAAATCTGTGCTAGCTGGAGAGATAAACACTTTTCTTCCTTCCTGGCCTGGAGAAACAAATCTGTGCCAGCTAACCATGACATAGGAGTCAAAGCATCTCACTCCCTAGTACAAAAAGACAACCAAAATGAATTAATAGTCTCAGTTAAAAATATAAAAACAAACATTAGTGCTATGGTTAAAATATTTTCAAACATCTTATGGGAATTGTGTGTGAAAGTCCCTTAGTCGGTTTTGACAATCTATATGATCCGTTACACTTCTTAAGCATATACATAGGAAGCATGAGAATAGGGTACAGAACAGATGTGAGTGTTTTAGAGGTAAAAAGGCACATACACTGTGGTGTAAGTAATCTTCCTTAAAAACTAATTTGGTCTTATGATGAAGATTCTTGTGGCAAGTAACAACAAAAGGATTTTTGAGCTGGGTTCTTCAACTGGACTGTTTTTCAGAAGTCCCTTTGTACACAGATTTCCTTTTTACATTGGAGAAATGGAAAGGGCTCCTCTCCCATGCTCCACATAATGCCCCTATGCAGGCCTATATGTAGTAGAACTGGACCCAGGAAGTGAAGGAGCCCATGGAAATCTGCTCCCTACCTCACCGATCCCTGCCTGGTGGTTAGATTTCCAGACAAATCTAGACAGGAGGTTCCGAGCTCTATTCCCACACTGAGACCCATTCATAGTTGGAATTAAGCAATCTCAAGGAGATCAAGTCAAAAGTACCATGGCTCTAGTAGAAACCATACTGCCTTCCAATAGGGAACTAAGGGCATGTCTATACTAGGAAATTGTTCTGAAATAGTTATTTTCGGGAGTTATTTCGAAATAGCATGTCCACACTACAGGGAAGCCTCAAAGGCTACGTCTAAACTACATCCCTTTTTTGGTAAAGGGATGTAAATTAGGCACGTCGATATTGCAAATAAAGCCGGGATTTGAATTTCCCGTGCTTCATTTGCATAATGGCAGCTGCCACTTTTTTCTGAAATGGGGCTTTTTTGAAAGAAAAAAAACCCACCCTGCAGTTCAGACGTGGCATTTTCTAGAAAATGCCCCATTTTGAAATATCCTGTACTCCTCATCTTTCGAAATGGGGCATTTCTGTTCAAAATTTCCCATCTAAACTGCCAGGTTTTTTTCAAAAAAGCCCCATTTGAAAAGAAAGCGGTGACTGCCATTATGCAAATGAAGCATGGGAAATACAAATCCCGGCTTTATTTGCAATATCGACATGCCTAATTTGCATCCCTTTACCAAAAAAGAGATGTAGTCTAGAGACGGCCAAAATTAGTCCGAGGCAGGCTCCCTTAATGTGGACGTGTTACCTCGACTTAGAACCCAGGAAGCACGAGGAAGTAATTACTTTGAATGACTCTGGGGAGTAGTTATTTCAAAATAGCTGGAGTGAAGTGTCCACACTACTGCTATTTCAAAATAACTATTTTGAAATAAGTGTTATTCCTTGTGGAAAGCAGGAGTTCTTATTTTGAAATAACCAGCCCTTTATTTCAAAATAACTGCCTAGGGTAGACCAGGGCTAGCAGTGCCAAGAGTTATCTATGCTGACCAGATTGGAATTAAACATGCACAACAAGTAAAATTAGGCTATTATAAATGAATATGTCAGAATTCAAAGGATCAAGTAAGTTGCACGTTGGTGCTTAAGTTCAAAAACCTATACCTGTGGACACAAAAGTTAGATAATCAGATATGCAGTTACTAATGTAAAAATAACCTGCAAGGTTATATCCTGGGTTGAAAAAAAAAAAAAATCACTGAACATCTGGCCTTAAATTTTGATTTTAAAATTAAAACTAAGACTGGAATTTGCAACAACAAACAAAAACCAGATTCTTAATGTACCTGTAAAATACCACTTTCTACAATAAGACAATATTGCAAACAGAATACAGAAGCAGCACATGAAAGCCATCATTACCTTCAGGCCTTGAAGTCAAACAAACATCACAGATCTGAGCAGAAGGCTTGTTTATTAGGGTGCAGAGAGTACATATCCATTCTTCTTCAGATTTCTGAGCTACATGTTCATTAGAACATGACCCCTTGCTATATGCCCAGCCAATTAGGCTATTTCTAGTTGGCAGTTTGCTGTGAAACAAAACAAAAACAGAGTTAACCTTTTTGTGAAGTTTCTTCCACAAATTGCCTGGCATCCAGCATATACTGGAAGATATGGGGCTGGAGAATAAGTGATACCCAGAGCTTATAGCTGCATATCATAGCTTGGACAGCATGACAAGATTAGATAGATTCCTCCTTTACCCAAAGGACAAATCCTTCTCAATTCTGAATAGGTCAGTAAAAAAAAGTTCAAACTAAAGGCATCTCAGAGGATCTCAAAGTGCTTTAACTGAAGTTAATTATCCATAGTGCACACTATCATCATGCTATAGATTATTTCAATAAGTAGCAATAGGAAATAGTGTATGGGGAGGCAGTATCCAGTAGTTCAATTCTTGTTCTCCTTCCACACCCCCAGCATTCATCAACAATGAGTCAGATGAGGAACTTAAAGCAGAGAGAGGCTGAACTGAGTAACATCACACAGTAAATGAGTACCACTATAGGGAAAACAACATTGATTTCTTTACTTCTTTATCCTGGGGAAGCCACTAGACCACACTGTTTTCATAAAAGCCAAATTAAATGAGAAATGCTTACAAATAATAAGCATAAGCACCTACTTGCCCAAAAATGAAAAGGAAACAAAAATAGGGTGGAGAAGGATGGCAGGAGAGAGATGGCTTGATCATTACCTGTTCGATTCACTCCCTCTGGGGCACCTGGCATTGGACACTGGGCTGGATGGACCTTTGGTGTGACCCAGTATGGCCATTCTTATGTTCTTAATATTAAATATAAAAGTTTGCCTTACAATATCAGTTGTATGCATCTTACTGAAATAGGCTTAGTATTTAGGAACCTGTTCAGAATCAGAGCATTAAATAATCACATCTACCTTTTTTTTTTTTTTTTTTGGTCATTTCTGACTACTGATTGCCAGGTTGTATAGAGAGATCTTAAATTTATCATCAGAAATATGACATGAAACTATTTTCATGATGCATTACTGCACCTTCTCTTTTGGTACACTTCAGAAATTTAGTGGTGGATATGAAACAGTATCAGGCTGTCAATAATTGGTAACACCCCCCAAATCTGAGCTCTACCAAATTGAGCATGCCTAAGACTATATTTTATACATTTATTAATTTTGACAGGGGTAAGAATTATTGACTTTTAATAAGTTTTACCCTCTCTCTTTCTTACCTTGATGCAATCTTGTTTGGATTCAGGAGTGGATAGTTCAATAAGTACTAATTTTTAAAAGGTTTTATTAGTTCTGGTAAAAAAAATATCAATCAAAACTGATAAAAGTGGGTTTTTTGCAAAAAAAAAATCTTTCTGCAAAAAAGGTAGGTTAGTCAGAAAATAAATATTTATTTTAAAAATATAAATATTTTAATTTGGAAATCCTGGTGAGATGGAAGTTTTGGTTGCTTTATGCCCCTTTATACTATGTGGCTGTGTCTACACTGGCATGAATTTCCGGAAATGCTTAAAACGGAATACTATTCCGTTTTCAGTTTTTCTGGAAAAGGAGCGTCTACATTGGCAGGCTGCTTTTCTGGAAAAGCCCTTTTTCCGGAAAAGCGTCTGTGGCCAATGTAGACGCGCTTTTCCGGAAAAGAGCCCCGATCGCCATTTTCGCGATGGGGACTTTTTTCCGGAAAAGACTACTGGGCTGTCTACACTGGCCCTTTTCCGGAACAGTGTTCTGGAATAAGGACTCATGCCCGAGCGGGAGCAGAATAGTTTTTCCGGAATAGCGGCTGCTTTTGTACAGTAGAGCATCGTTGCTTTTCCGGAAATTCAAGGGCCAGTGTAGACAGCTCGCAGCTTATTCCGGAAAAGCGGCTGATTTTCCGGAATAAGTGGCCCAGTGTAGAAACAGCCTGTTTGTCCAGCTTCCTAGCCAAAATACATTTTCGATGATGCACCATGACGAGAGACTTCTCTGATGCATCATCTCTCCTCTCCATGAGGAGAGATTAGGTTGCAACATGGGACACATAGTCAGACCACGGAGCCTGTTTCACAGAGGAAAATGAAAACGAGACACCCTAACTACAGCTCTTGCAAATTACCATGGCAGCATTTCTAAAGGAAACTATTTGGTATTGGATGAAGGATTTTGGTGTTTGAATTTTCACCAAAAATTGAAATTGTCTGTAGAGGAAAAAACCTGAACAGCTAAAATGATGATCTCAGGAATGTGTCTGTACAAAATCTAAATTCTCAATGATATTATGAAAAGTGTGGACAAATCTAGATTTATGTATCCACCAAGCCTTTATAACCATCCCTCCCAGACCAGGGACTATAGTCAATCATTAAGGATGATCAGCACATGAACATCTGGAGAGGAGTAACTGCATTCTAGGAAAATCAGTTCTCTGTAACTTCTCTCAACTGGGGACTAAAGGTTTAGAGACTGAAAATTACCCACTGCAGAACAAGGACACCAAGGTGGTGATATTAGACAATAAAAAGGACTCATAGGAGGATCTCCCCCTCACCTCCTCAGATGAGAGGAGTGGCTCAACCAGTGAGGTCAGAAAGGACAAGATAGGAAGATAAGTCTCAAAGGGCTATATCTAAAAAGAGGTTTTAGATCCAACAATGCAAGATCTAAGATGTAGGCAGTCTGCTGCCTAGTGGAATCCATAGCCTTGAGGTACACATACTCTCTGTTCAATGCATTGAGAGAGTCAGTCACCTAAAAATGAGATCCAGGCAGATGAGTGGGGAGCTGTTCCACCTCGCCATTAGAAAATGCCAAGGAGAGGAGTGAGCATTAAGCCTCATCATCCAAAGAGTCTTATGCACCTATGTCTGGATTGAAGGGAGTGCCTATCTCTGTATGGGATTTATAGCCATGAACCTTCTCCTGGAGTTAGGTATCTAAGCACTTTCTCAGAAAAACAATCATACTAGTAGTGCTGGTGGTTTGTTATTTTTGCACAGAACTGTGCATTTCCTGTTTTAGAATACTCAACTAAGTGCATAGTGTGTTACAGGGGGAAGCCTGCACGGTCAGTACTGATTCCAGGGGCAGCCTGTATAATTGCAGCTCTCATAAGCAGGAGCTAGTCATAGGATCTGCACCCCAAGTGAGTGTCTAAGTGCCCCAGGACAAAAACTGTGTTTGGTCTCTGTTCAGACTCCTGAGGTTTAAAACACCCAGGGATTCAGTGGTTGGATCCCCTCACAGCAGTCTGGTGAGTGGCCAAGAGGGTTGCTTGATCAGATCTGTGACAGCTCTACGTGTGAAGACTGTTTAGTAATCTAAAATGGTTTCATTCTTAGTTCATTGGACTTTTGTCATTTCATTATCTTAAGACTGAAGACCTACTTGGATTTGATAAGGTAAAGAACATTTAATAGAATTAATCTAAGTCTTGAGGATGCTTTAATCATTGTCACCTGCATCAAGTCACAATGCTCCCTTCTGGCCTTAAAAATCAGAGCTTCTTGAAGCAGTAAATCAGCCTTTTCATAAAATCCTTGACACTTGACAAAAGAGCGTTTTCATTCTGATAAAAAGGACTGTCTAATAGAAAACACAAAGGAATGGAATATAGTGTGCTCTGACACATGAATAACAACGGGGGGGGGAGGAGATTATTATGGTCTACAGCTACCTTTACCAGATGATAAATTCTAGTCTATAAAAAAAAGCTATGTTTGAAGTTGCTAAAAGTTTGTTTTTAAAGTAAAATCCTTTCAGCTATTTGAGTTATAACGCCTGAAAAGAAGGTGGCGGTAGTGGGTATTTCAATTTTCTCTATTCTTAGCTACAATTTTTGTTTTCTTGAAGATTTGTGTAACATTTTCAAATATGTCTTAGGCACTAAGGAACTGAAGGCTCAATGGAAGTGAGGCTCTTTTGAAAATTGTATTCCTTGCTCCTCTGTGATATCAAATGTATGTTCCCCCTTCCCAACTTAACCAACAGAAATGCTGCAATTTAGTACAACTTGTCTAAGCCTGAAAATGTCTTAGTGGCACAAAAAGGGTAAATTACACCCAAAACCCATCAGAAGAAAAATCGTAAGAGTCCAATTAAAATAGCTGAAAATTCCCAAGATTTGAGAAATACCACAAAATTTTCATAGAATCATAGGGTTGGAAGAGACCTCAGGAGGCCATCAAGTCCAACCCCACTAAAAGCAGGACCAACCCCAAGTAAATCATCCCAGCCAGGGCTTTGTCAAGACAGAAATTAAAAACTTATAGGGATGGAAGATCCCACCATCTCTCTAGGCAACCCATTCCATTACTTCACCACCCTCCTAGTGAAATAGTTTTTCCTAATATCCAAACTAGACCTCCTCCACTGCAACCATTGCTCCTTGTTCTGTCATCTGTCACCTCTGAGAACAGCCTCACTCCATCCCTTTTTGGAACCCCCTTCAGATAGTTGAAGGCTTCTATCAAATTCCACTCCCCCTCCCCCCCACACACACACTCTCTTCTCTTCTGTAGACTAAACAAGCCCAAATCCCTCAGCCTCTCCTCATAAGTCATGAACTCCAGCTCCTAATTACTTTCTCCGATGCATCTACATCCTTTCTGCAATGGCAGAGGGCAGAAGGGACTCAGAATTGAACACAATATCCCAGATGTGGCTTCACCAAGGAATAATGCCGAGGAAAAGGGACTAATAACTTTCATAGATCTGCTGGCAATGCTCCTATTAATGCACCCCAATATGTCATTACCCTTATTTGCTGCAAGGGCACACTATGGGCATGTCAATGGGCTACAAGATTGTCGTAACCAAGATAATCTTCCAGGGTAGCGTACTTTTGCTAACTGCTTGCATACCTAGAATTTGTGAGGTGTGTTAATTGAACTGCATCAGCACTTTGATTGGATGCAAAAGGAGCACACTGCTCTCACAATTCTGAGCACAATCAGCATGCATCTCACTTCACATGCCCTTGCTTTCTGTACATGTCACTTTAATAATACTCATAGGAAAAAACCTATATGGATGGAAACTAATAGAATTTGGCATCCCTGTGCATGGGCAACAGTAAACAAAATGTCTCAGGGGCCACACATAGCACTCTGATGGGCCGCAAGAAACCCTCAGGCCACAGGTTGACCACCACTGATTAGGGATGTAAAATCCTGTTTAATCAATTAAACTTTATATTTTATCAGTTAACACTTAAATGGGGATGGTAGAGGACCGTTCTGGCCAGGTGAGAGCATCCTCTGCCCGCAGCAGTTGCTCCATTTTAATATGTTGCACTTTCAAAGTTTTCTTAATATGTTTCCATAATTTTATTCACTGTAACTATGATGGTGATCTTTCATTGCCAAGTATGATCATCTTTCTTGGGAGTTGTGGACCCTCAGTTGGCTGATAAGGCCAATCCTTGAACCACAAGTTCTGTTACAGCGAGGACAGATGTTTCCAAGTACAGCAGAAGGATGTTGACCACGACTAGAAGCCAGTCTCCCCTTCCTCCTGCACCTCTTCTCTTCTTCAGCATGTTAGCAGGCAAATTCAAAATGCAGGGAGCCATGGCATAGGACTTCTCTCCATTTCGAGTGATCCTGGGCAAATGTCTCCCATGTGTCAACTTCAATGTTGCACTTCTTTAAATTATCCTTTAGCAATTCCTTATAATGCTTTCGTTGTCCTCCGATATTATGGTATCCTTCTTTCAGCTGAGAAAAAAGGACCTGTTTGGGGAAGTGGTGGTCTGGTATCTGAACATGACCAGTTCAGTGAAGTTTCTGATGGATGATCACTGTCTCGATACTGGTGGTCTTAACCTCTTCCAGAACACTGATGTTAGTGCGCCTGTCTTCCCATTTGATCTTGGAGGCAGCATTGGTGATATCTCTCAAGGACTTCCAAGTGATGTCTGTAGGTTGTCCAACTTTCAGACCAATACAATAGTGTTGGGAGAATGACAACTTGATAGACAAGAAGTTTGGTGTCTGTTCAAATGTTGTGATCTTCAAAAACCCTGTGCCGTAAATAAGAAAAGGCTGCATTGGCACAGCTCAGATGATGTTGGATTTCTACACCAATATCTGCCTTGAATGAAAGATAACTTCCAAGATTATTTTCTCTACCAACATTCTCCATTGCGCCTCCATTGATTTTAATAGATGGGGTGAATGGTACCTCATTTGGAGAGGGCTGATAGAGCACTTTGGTCTTCTTGATGTTGCGGGTGAGACCAAGACTTGCATAAGTATCAGCAAAGTTCAGGCTAGTTTCAAGATCTCTCTCAGAGTGGGCAAAAACCACCTTGTCATCAACATACTGAAGTTCCATGATAGAGGTGGTGGAAATCTTACTCTTAGTTTTCGGCCTGCTAAGCTTAAACAGCTTTCCATCCATTCTGGAGATGATTTCAACACTAACTGGGATCTTAATAAAGACCATGACCCTGGTAGGGGTGATGATACAGCCCTATCTGACTCCTGTAGATGGAGAGGCTTGCATGCTCCAATGAATCCCCCGCCCCCAAATACTGAAGTGTAATTCTGTCTGGAAAAATATTTCTGAAAAGGACATGCGGATCCATCATTATTGTAGAATTAAAGTATTATATTTCAACAGCTTCTGCATCAAATGGCTTGGTTCAAAAATAAAACTATTTTCTCTCTAATAGTAGAGATACCTGAGGTCAGAGTTAAGTAGGATTCTTTCTTTCACATACATCAGGATCAGCTAAGGATTTTGCAGGCCAAATTGTGAAATGTCTCAGCAACATTTGGGAAGCCCTATTGCTTGCAATGGATTAGTAGTAGTTATTTACACTGTGGTAATGTCCAAAGGACTCAGACAGGACCATGGCTCCAATGCACTAGGCATTGTACAAATATATAGGAAGACATGGTCCATGTCCTGAAGCTCGTATGATCGATGGTCCTGATCTACAAATACTTACGCAACTGCTTAGTTTCAAACAAGTCGGATCAAAAGGACTGATATGTATAAAGTTAAGCACATGTATTTGCATAAGCTGGATCTCATTTACAATGGAAGAAATGAGTAAAAGATGATAGGCGTACAACTAGAATGAGAGTAAGAGTAATAGCAACAAAATTGCATTGGCTAACACTTGATGATTCAAATGATTTCAAAGGTTTGAACAGGGAATTTGGAACTGGAATTTAGCCAACCACATAGAATTTAATTTACCAGGAGAGAGGGGGAAGAGGAGGGCATAAAAGTCCCTTTTTGTCAGTAAAGGCAACATACAGAGTTTGAATACATACTGGGAACAGGTTTTTTTCAGTATGTTTCAGAGTGGGGTCACATTTCAAAGAGTTATAAAACAAATGCCATACCTAACATCAACAAGATGAGGTTTATCCTTTTGACACTGTGGACAGAAGTATGTCATCCTGTTATTCTCTCCTAAACGACAAACAATGATCTTTCCAGTGCATTGACCACAGTTAGGGCGTTTGTACACTTTGTAATGTTTGTAGAGTGCTGATCCTGTCTTGCGGCACTAAAATAGAACATTTTTATAATGCGATTAGAACACGATTTGATTCAATGCAAGACTTCTGTATCCTCCAAAATAGAATTATAGAGAGTGACAGAGAAAGTGAATGCATACACATGAACTGACAGCTTTGTAGCTAAAATATTACTCAAATAATTAAGAACGGCTATACTCAATTGTCTTTGCATCAGATTCAAGCATGAATTAATACCACTTCATTCAAATATTAACAATTCAATTTTCTTGAATTTCTGTTCTATATTTAGAGTTATGTTCTCATTACCAGCCAATCTGTGATTTGGAACATTAGGAGGCAGTGCACCCTGCCTGCTTCACTCACCAGCCCCCCTCTTACAGGGGGTAGGCAACCCTGGCTCTCTCCACAGCCACTGGGGAAGGCCAGGCTGTGGACGCGCCAGCCCAGGCCCCTTCCTGCCTCCTGCTCTGAGCTGCACCAGCCCAGGCCCTTTTTCTCTCCTCTCCACCCTTGCCCTCCCCGCACCTCTGCAGGCACAGCAGCCTGGGCCCAATCTCCCCCGACCCACTGCTGCTCCAGTTCACCCCGCCCCACCATGGCATAACCTACCACCCCCCTCCTCCTGGCCGAGGCCATGCCAGGCCTAGCCCTCTCCCCTTCAGCCTCTGGGGGCTTGAGCCTGGCCAAAGCCATGTGTGACCAGGCCTGTCCCTGTCCCCCTGGCCTCCTGGGGCTGGACCAGGCCAAAGCCTTGGCATGGCTAGGCCCGGCCCCTCTCCTGCCTGGCTTCCTGGGGTTTGGACCAGTCAGGAATGGTCCTCTTCTCCCCTGCCACCTCTCAGCCCCACCTCGAGAGCATCAGGGACAGAGGGAGAGGAAGGGCCAGCTCCCGCCCCTCCTCCCAGAGCACAGGGGAGGGAAGGGGAAGGGCCATGCAGCTCGCGGCTCCTGCTCCACCCCGCTGCAACTCTGGGGAAGGCCATGCAGCTACCACCCGCCGCCCTGGGAGAGACCGGACCCGAGCTACACTGGCCCTCCTGTCCCCTAGCTGGGAAGGCAAGCAGTGTGCTGGGGCCATAGGCAGCCCCAGCCCTCAACGGGCCCTGAGAAAGGCCAAGCTGGGAGTGAGTGGGGCTTTTCCTGTGGGACAGACTGATGTGAAGACATCGCTCTGTCATCCCACAGAAAAAACTTTTTTAAATATAAAGAGAGAGTTGTTAAATCCTTGCATTCCTTCCTATTTCCATAATATTTTTAAGAGTACCCAACAAAGTTTGTTTATACAAAACAATACCCAAAATATTTGCAATTGTGTAAAGTTTAACTAGAATTTGCATACCCCACAGTATTTAATATTTTAGAAACAAAGATGAAATTATTACCACTCTTACTAATAACACTGCAAAATGGGATAGCGAGGAAGCTATCTTCAAGAAATTTTAGGGACATTCTTTAAAAGCCCTCTGAGGTTCCTAAATAGCAAATGCTATGTAAATGCAGAATACTATACCTATTTTAAACACTGCAAAGCTAAGCCACAGAAAGGGTAAGCTGCTTGGCCAATAGCACACTAAAAATTCCTAGTACGGCCAGGAACAGAATCTCCTAACTCTCAGTTCTGACTACCTCTCTCTTGCTGACTTCAGAGGATTCAGGGTTTTAAAAGTTCCACTCTTCCCTGGATGAATGAGAAGATTGCCTTGGTGAGTGAAGGGATCTACTCTATTGCTGCATAATTTAAGATCAAAATCTAAAAAGCTGGAGGTTAAATCTACTCTTTATATTTAAATAACCACACATCTCATTTCAGACTTCATTAACAAAGCCATGAGGATCCAATTACCCACAAACGTTCTTGCATTTGCTTGTTTTTTCTCAACAGTGCCTGAATCAAAAAGTCCTTCCCACTTCCAGCAGACTGACTTACTGATTCTTTTAACTGTTTCCACTAGATGGCTACATATAGCTTATACGTTTTGGTGCAAAATTACAATGGACTTTCTCTCCTAGAAATTATTGCTCTCACCTTATAAAAGAGAAGAGTAAAATCACGGATCATTTTCACCAAGTGATGTGTCTGTTCATCTGTTAATTGACAAGCCTGTGAATAAGGCAAAAATATTTTTAAAAATGCATTTATAACACTATAATACACTGGAGCAACTATAGTAAAGAAATGTATAATTAGAGATAGAGGCTGTTCAGGGTGGTCACCTTAGGTCCCGCACTTTAGAGGGGAGCAGGAGCCAGCAGCTCCTGATGTCACTCTGGAAAGGAGGGGTCAGGAGCTTTGGGAAAGGGGCAGAATGGAGGCAGGGATGGGCTAGGAGGAAGGGACAGAGCAGAGGTAGAGCAGGAGTGAAGTGGGGTGGGAGCAGAGTAAGGAGTGTTCCAGGATCCACATACTGCTAAGGATGAATCTGATCAGTGTCTGTGGACTTCCCCAACAAACAGGACATTACACAGCTGCTTGGTCTCAAATATTCTTGTACTTTTTTTGCATCTTCTGCTGTATATTTGTATACACAAATATGCTTACTTATTATTTCACAGTGTCTATGCAGCTTCCCCCAAAATAGCTATAAAGTTTCAATATTTTAACTTCAAGGTTCACCTAATGGTCCCCAGAGGAAAATGAAGTGGGTTTCAATTACATGTAGTAATCTTCACTAGCTGCCTTTTGGTTTCTTGTTGGAGTCTACAGGTTAACGCCAACACCTCCATGATTTAGAATCTTGTTGTTAGAAAATTTAATTCTCTTGTGTGCAACATCACCTCTTGCTTCAATATGGAAATGAATACCTCTCCGACTGCATACCTCTAGTTTTCACAAGGATTCCATAACTTTCTGCGACCTCCGTAACTTCTACAGTAGTCAGTGTGGCTGACCCCAGGGGCACCCATGCAGCTGGCTCCAGAGCTAGGTGCTCAAGTGGCACTAGTGACAGCCATATTGGCTGG